ATCAAGGATTTCACATGAATATCTGCATCACTCTCAGATCTCTTAAGAGAAATGAATACAAATCTGTGAAAGAAGAAGTTTTGTTCAATCATCTGAAATACTGTGTGTGAAGAGGCTTTTCTTATACTGAGAAAATGTGTAATAACATTCTCAGTGCTTATTCAATCAGATTGTAATAAATCTTTCTACATTGAGACAGATGCATCTGAATGAGCTATCAGAGACACTCTTCTACAGATGAGTAAGAATGACAAGCTGCACTCAGTGATGTATGATAATAGAAAACTATCAGATACTGAGCTCAATTACTCAGTGTATGAAAAGAAATTGCTAGTGATCAAGCACATGCTGATATTATGAGATAGATATATTAATAACAGGTATACAATAACAGTGATCACAGATTATAAAAGTCTTATCTATCTACAATTGACAATGAAATCTTTCAAATGCTTAGTATATTGAATCTCAGAGTTTTAAGTGTATAATCTTCATATCAAATACTGAAAGAGAATGAACACTGTGATATCTAATACAATCAGTTACAGATCTGATTTCATGAGTGAGAATTCTGTGAATCAGATATAAAGAAAGTTCATGTTAAACACACTGAGAGAATATAAGAAATCAGAATGAGTGAATGCAATAATCTCTTACTTGAAGAATGATAAGATATCAGATAATAAGTATCTTATGAAAGTAGTAGAAGAGATGCTTTCAAACTTCAAGCTAAGGAAATTGAAAAATGATGTTATGCTTTACTATAATCTAGAATATATGAAAGCTCTCTATCTAGAATATTCATTTAGACACAACTTGATGACTTACATACACAAGGAATTCAGTCACTTAGAAAGCTCTGAACTCATGAATATACTTGAATCAAGAGTATACTAGTCAAGCATGACTGAGAACATTCAGATATATACTCATGAGTGTCTGAATTGTCAGATTATAAAAGAATCTAAGAAAGAGTTAGAACATGAGAAAGTGTAATATCAGATAAAGTATATAATACAACTGTTTAAATGATGAGAGATGAATCTTATAGATATATTACTGTGAATGTCAAATAAAAATTAATGAATAATCACTGCTATTAATTATGCTACTGACTGATCAATTGTGAAAGCAGTTTCAGAGATAATAGAGAAGATGATAACAAAGTTTCTATATAATAAGATCTATATTAACTATGAAATGCTATGTGAGATTTTAACTGATAATGATGTAAATCTTGTAGAAGAAGTGATAAGACATTTCATAAGTCAGTTACAGACAAGATATTGTAGAACAATGCTATATCATCTATGAATAAATAAGAAGATAAAATGCTTGAATAAAATCTTAAGTAACATGCTGATGAAATATCTAGTGAGTAAGTCTACAAGATTATAAGATGAATATCTCAGTCAGATGCTATTAGTCACACAAATTCAGTAGTATACAGTCTTCAAGTGTTCATCATTCTATCTGTTGTATGAATTGCATTCATGTATCTCAGAGAATGCTTTGAAAAAGATGAGAGAGAGAACAGCAGTTATGAACACAGTAGTAGCAGTTGTGAACACAACAGTTGTAGATGTAAAATCAAGATTGAAAGAGATCAGTCATGCATGTGTAAAAGCTAATGAGTTACTTCTGAACTGAGCAATTCAATTGAAAAGAATATGAGACTCACTAGTTAAGAAATTGAGTCTTAAGATGAGAATGTAAGTTCTCATATATAATGAGAGTTCTGAGAAGTTTCAATCTAGATGATTTGAGTTATATAAAATACTCAAATCACATTCTCTGAGAATATATGTATTGAAAGAATCAGAGAGACAGATCTTACACAACTTAATAAATAATTCATATCTTATAAAAGTAAAGATATAAGATCTGAGTGAATTATGATTATCTACAGCACTATTATCAGTATTAAAAAAAAAGACTTATAATTGAAAAGTCTTACAAAGTAAGAGAAATCATAGATACTTATGAATCAGATGATCTCACTTATTCTGATCTTTTCACAATTATAAGAAAAGAATGAGAAGAAATAAAGAAATCAGATGAATATTATACTTTAATAAGTGATAAGACTGTAATCAGTTGTATAATAATATACTGCAGACAGTAGATGCAACATGATAAAGAACAGTCTCAAAGTAACAGATTTATACATGAATCAGATTACAGAAGAAAAAGAAATTCAGAGTTGAATTCAACTGTTTACACTAGTTCAATTATGAAGATAATAGAGAATGAAGTATCTGAAATATCTGTGAATGTGTGAGATCAAGTTATCTCAATCTCTGAAGATGCTCAGAGATTAGATAAGATTAGTTTTGATAAGCTGTTCACTGTAGTAATCTGAGTGAGTGAAGAGAGACAGTATAATGTATAAGATAGAATTACAAAAGATAGAAGCTGCTGACTCTAGTCACTGAATACTGTATTATATAGAGATTGTGTAAGAGTAGTAACTAGCAGATAAAGAAAAAGTGTAAGAAAAGAAAAGAGATAATAGATTGATTATTAACTGTAAGAATCAGCTGTAAAAGACAAATATTATCATATACATCTTATTCATTTTCATATGCTATATATTAATCTATTTTCAATGTCACATCATCTGAAAAATGTTAAAAATAAAGAAAATCTTAAAACTTGAGATCTGTAAGAGATTCAAGAGCTGTAAACTGCTCTTATAATAATACTATATATGTCTCTAATTTCTCTACTGCTCTGTGTATGATATTAATATTATTAATCACAAGATTGACTGAAATGTTAATATAGAAATGTGTACATGTATATATAGAAAAATTGAATAAGAGTGTGAAATCTGCAGAATCAGAAGTTAGAGCAGAGAGAGTGAAGATAAAAGAAATGAAAGAAGAAGAAGATATAGAACTGAATAAATGATAGTAAGAGTCACTCAGAGCTGAATACTTATAACTCAGTGTATACACAATCTTCTCTGTAGAGAAGGAAGAGAAAGTGATAGAAGAAGCTTAAGAGTAGAAGAGAGTAGTCTCAGTGATATTATCATCTTTGATTAAAATGATCTCTGATATCAAAGTAACTAAGAATCATTGTTAGTGTATGAAAATTATAAAATCAGAGATAAAAATAGTTACTGAATAAATATCTACTGATCTTAGAGTTGTATATATAATTACAACATGTACAAGACTTCTCAGAAAGAGAGAGAGAGATATGAGAAAATATAGAAAGTAGAATACAGTATATGAACAGCTCATTCTCACAATAACATCTCAGATAAGATGTATAAGTCTCACATCTATGAGTGTAAAAGAGTATAATATCTGTGTTTTTATTTCTGAAAACATGAATATCTTTTATCTATATTATAAAGTCAGATAATAGATGTTAGAGAATAGACTGATACAGATCTATTATTCTGAAGAAATTCATCAGAGTAAATATCTCTATAATATTGAACTTTACAGTTATAAAAAGTTTCTTAGTATCTGTGAATATTATAACTTTATATATAATAAAACTTATAATGATTTTCTCTAAGAATAGAAAAATCAGTATCAGAAAGAAAAGATGAAAAGAAAAAGACTTATAATCTTGATACTGTTAAGAGAGAGAGTGATTCTCTAATATAAATAAACAATTATCTTATCATGAATATTTAAAATAAATGTAATAATCAGTATCTGTGACTGAGCTTCAGATAGTTATATTATATACAGTCTTTATACAATAAATTATTCTAGAAGTTGATAAGAAGAGTAGAAGTGTATATACTGAGAAATATGAATTATTAAGTCTATACAATATCTTCTTGAAATGAGAAGAGCTGGTAATGAAAGCAGAGATAGCAGAATTAGAAAGAACAGAAGTAGTGAGAGTAGAGATCACAGAAATAGAGATAGTAGAAGCAGGAGAATCAGACACAGAGACAGGTGTAGAAGATTGAGAGAAAGTAATAAAGAAAGAAATAGAGAAGATAGAAGAAGATGTGAGAGATCTAGTTATACATGACATGAATAATTTCTTCATTATTACATTCTTCAAGTTCTTGATTAATGATTCAATATTAAAATCATAATCATCAGTGAATGTAAATCTGTCAATATGTAAAGACTCTATATAAATTAAAATATCAGTATCTGTGATTATATAATATGATCAGGAAAACATAATCAGATACTGCTAAAGAAAAGAGAGTCAGAGATATATAAGAAGATGAAGAAGATATGTCATTTATAGTAGTATATTCTGATGATTGTTAGAAGATAAACAAGTTCTAGTTATGTTTCACAATATGTTACACTTACTGCTAATAAACTGCTCAGTATAAGTACTATGAGAATACTTATTATGAGAACAGAGAGTTATCATCAGAAATGTATATAATGTGATAGATAAATAGATAGAAAGAGTTGAATAGAAGAAGAGATAGAAATCTTGAATAAGATAGTAATATTTAATAATAATGATGATGAAGAAGATAATTAAAGAATAAGAAAAGTTAGTGAATAAGTGATGTAATATAGTAAAAGTTTCTTTGTAAGAGTGTATATAGAATGCTAGCTGAATCAGAAATAGATTACATGATTGTGAATGCTAGTAACATGTTAATCTGCATGAAGCTAGAATGAATGTCATGATTATATGAGTGTGACTGAATCTGGTGAGAGAGAATGTGATTTGAAAGAATGTACAACTGTTTGTTGATGATTACTACACCTACCCTAGTCACGTGCCACCCCAACCTATTCATTTAGTGTAACTCGCGTAGTTAGATTACAACACAACACAACAACATTATTCTTCAAGAGGTTATGAAGCCCTCTACACAATGAAAAGCTGTAAAATAATGTGCAATTGACATCTCCACGCGTTGTTACAAGCATGCCTAGATGATTTATTAAGTGATTGAACCCATGATTAATCTAAGATCTGAGGGGACACCTGACTTAATAAAAGAATACATGCCTTCAAGACAGAAAAATGAGAAAACATCAGAGCAGCAAATGCAAGATCACAGATCACTGTCAATATTAATAATGAATCAGAAGATGACTTCTGAGATGTTTGAGCTGAATAAAATCATTGCAGAAGAACAGTCTGACAAGTTCAACATATACAAAGACTCAGTTAAAGACATCATCAGTGAGATGTCAGACAATGCAGAGAGCTCAAGTGACTGGAATGACAATAGCTCAGTGAGTAAGAAGACTCACATGAGACTAGAAATTGCAAGACTTCAGCATGAGATTGAGTGAATGAAGATCAGTAGAGGTGACTCTGTAGATGATGAGATGAGAGCAGATCTGACAGAATATCTTCAATGAAAAGAGAAGACATCTGTCATAATGAAAGTTCTTGAAGAATTCAGAAGTTAAGTAAGACTTATTAAAAGACTGATTATTCTCACTGAATTCATTAACTACTCAATATGAAGAGAGGAAATCCTTTTGACTGCAGAGCAGTCTGAAACTGATGATATTCTTGAAGATAATAGTCTTGATGAGAATGTCACTATGAACATGCAACATTTCTGAAAAGAACACAATCTTTAATTATACAATTATATATGGTCTGCAATTGCTCTGCAGGCTAAGGCTCATTTCACTATACTCAAGAAGTTCAAATTATCAGCTTATGCTCTATAGACTATTATAGAGGATAACTTTTCTGAGAGGCCTGCTGTACACAGAACTCATTTATTTGAAGAGCTTATTGAAATGATCTTTAAAAGCAAAGAATCTGACAGAGCTTTCATTGAATATCTGATTGTCATAAGGACTGATTATATCTGTCTAGAATATGAGATCCCGGATGTTGTGTTTTTTAACAGACTGCTTACAGAAGTCAACAGAGGTTGGGCCTCATTTATAAGGAATTGAATGAATCAAATTGACAAAGATAATACTCAACTCTTAGAGGATGATTTTATAAGCCTGTGCTGTGATATTCTTTTGCAGCTCCCTGCTGCGAATGAAGCAAGTACTGAATCCATGAAAAATCCTGCAAATAATGCTCAAGATTTCAACAGAAAGGATAAAAAGGATAAGGAGAAAGAGAAGGTCTCTGAGGACAAGGACAAAGATTTCACCAAGCCGGATAGAAAGGGTAATAATGCTACCAAAACATGTTATCATTGTCAGAAGATTGGCCACATTCAAACAGATTGCTGGTTGAAATTTCCTGAAAAACGCTCTACTAGCCGCGGTAAGGATAAGAATAAGAATGAAACAGGCCCAGCGCCAGTTCATAATGTCATTGAGCAAGTATTTCATACAACAGAAACAGTCTATTCTACTGGTCAAACTGGCAAAGATACCTGGGTTCTGGACTCTGGATCCGGTGCCCATGCTACACCTTACAAGGATCTCATATTGATAGTGCCGCAGAAGGTTAATGTCATATTGGAGATGACTGACAGATCAACAGCTCCTGCAACAGCTATAGAGAAGGTGAATATACCAGTTGAAGAAGCGAATCTGCTGCTGCAGGACATCCGCTACATTCCCAAGCTGGAGATGAATCTTATGAGTTTTGAAAAGCTTGTACACCAGGGCTATACATATAAGCAACTGACCTATGAGAACACTCATTCAATCTTGCTAACCTCTCCTGACAAGATGTTGAGTTTTACTGCCAAATTGAGTGATAAGGACATCTACATTCTGGAAAAACAACCAATGACTAGAGACTTGATTTGATTCACAATGCCAAATGATGAATTTAAACCTGTGAAAATTCTACAGCCTGCAGAGAAAAAAGATCCCCTGCTAGCATTGCCTAATAAGGACATCAAGATTGTTGAACACACAATGTTACAATGGCATCAAAAGCTTGGTCATCTCAACCCTGCAGATATCACTAAATTAGCAGCAGATTCATGACTGGGAATGAGAATCAAGAGTGGCAGGGCTTTGCCATTCTGCAAGACCTGTGTACAGGCAAAAATGACACATTCAACATTTGCACCAATGACAAGAACTGTCAAACCTGTGATGAGATTCTTCATGGACCTTGCAGGTGGTGACCATACACTATATAATGAAACCAACCTCTCTACTCATGAGGGAGCTAATTATTGAATGGGCATTACAGATAATGCCACACAATACAGGTGAATTATTCTTATGATGTCAAAGAGTGAGGCCACTGCGCGTTTGATGATCTTTATTGACAGAATTGAGGCCACTACTCAACATCGAATTGGGACTTTACACTGGGATGGCGGAGGTGAATTTAAAAGTGATGAATTAAAGACCTACTGCCGGTGGAAAGGGATCACATATGAGATCACTATACCTGATACATCACAGTTCAACAGCCCTGCAGAACATGCCAATCATATTGTAGATGAAAAGACAAGAAGCTTACTATTTGACAGTGGGCTTGCAAGAGAACTTTGGGGTGAAGCTATTCAAGCTGCAGTCATGATGATCAACACATCCTCAACATCAATGAAGATTTACAGGTGTCAGAGAGGGACCTCATTATCTTCTTTTGAAGCTTGGACAGGTGTTCAACCTTCTGCTCATTGAATACACAGATGGGGATGTAAGGTGTATAAGAAGGACCTGAAGGTTACCAATAAGCTCACAGATAGAACTGATGACAAGCAATGGTGATTAGTTGAATATCAAGGACTGCATCAATATCATATCTGGGACCCTGCAACCTGAAAGCTTGAGATTGCAAGAGATGTTGTTTTTGATGAAGGATTGACAACAGAAGAAGCACTGGCGAATGTCATTAGAGAAGCAGTCAAACTGCCAGAGGAATTGAATGTTCTTGACACCATGAAGGGATGACAACACTGCCTCCTAAGAAGACTCGCAAAGGATAAACCTGATGTTTTAAAGATGCTTGCTGATGGTGATATGAACAGCGCGCTGGAACCGACGTATCTACTAGATGATGAGACAGAACTTGTCAATGATGATATGAATGACCCTGTGAATGACGAAGATTCTGTACTCAGTGTTCTTAATGACCGTCCGATCACACTGGCAGAGGCCAAAAGAAGCCATGACTGGGAACATTGGCACCAGGCAATGAGGAAGGAAGTGGAAACTTTTGAATGGAAGAAGACATATATTGTCATTGAAAAGGCCCCGGAAATGAACATTCTTACAGACAAATGAGTGTATGATTGGAAGTTGAATAACAAGGGTGAAATCATTCACTTTAGAGCTCATTGAGTGGTTAGAGGATTTCTACAACAATAAGATGTTTATTATAATAGGTCATATGCAGCAGTGATGTCTGAACCTACATCACAGAGCTTATTCACTATATCAACAGCAAGGGGTTGAAAAGTCAGATCAATTGACTATGTATCTGCATTTTTGAATGGGGTATTGCCTCAGAATGAGATAATATTTATGCAACTACTCACAGGGATCAAGCATGGTTGTGGTGGATTAGTAGGGCTTGTACATCAGAGCTTATATGAAATGAAACAGGCAGCAAGGACATGGTATTTCCTTGCAACAGAACACTTGGTGAATCTAGGATTCAAGATCTCATCTTACAACAGTGGATTTCTTTATCATCCAATTTGCAAGTTATTCTTGACACTACATGTCAATGACTGTCGAATCACAGGGCCTGAAGAGAGTGAAATTGAGTGGATTTTGATGGAAATCAGAAAAAGGTTTGAGACAAAAGAAGTTGAACAGGATAAACCTTACCTGGAAATGAAGGTCAAATACCGAGATGGAGATCTAGCGGTTACACAGAGCTGTTATGTTGAAGAAATATTGAAAGATTTTGAAATGAATAAGGTCAACCCTGCGGGGACTCCAATGATGGCGGGCATATGACTGGAATTTTCACCTGATGAGGATGGTGGATTGAATGATGACTTTACAGCTACAAGATATCATCAAGAATTGAGATCATTGCAATATTTGATCTCAAGCAGCCGGTCAGATCTGGCATTCACAGTCAACTATCTCTCACATTTTAACTCACATCTGTACAAGGCATGTTGGGCAGTGTTGAAGCATGTTCTACATTATGTCAAGAAGACAAAAAACCATGGCATATTATACAGGAAGGAGATCAGTGATATGGGCCTGAGTCCTGTGACATACTGCAATTCAGACTGAGCAGGGGTGAATCCTCAATACAAATCAACTACTGACTATGTTATATTGATTAACAGGTCACTGATCTCATGGCAGTCACAGAGACAGACATCTATTATCAAATCAATCACAGAAGCCAAATATATTGCAGCTAGTGAGACAGCTTGTGAGATAATCTGATTGAATGATATGTTATATGATGCTGAGTTGATGAATGATGAAAAAGCAAAAATATGCTCACATCTATGAGTTGACAATAAGAGAGCAATTGATCTAGCAAAGGGGAAATTCTTAACATGAAGATCACATCACATTGAGATTAGATATTATATTCTCTGCGATTTGGTTGAAAAAGGGGAAATCATGATGAAACATGTTGGTTCTACAGTGAACATAGCTGATGGGCTCACCAAGTCACTGGTGAAGCCTGCATTTGAAGAATTTGTCAAGAGAGTTGGCATTCAGGAAATTGAGAAGAAGGAATGATTGAATGGTAATGATGATACAGCGGATCAATGGATTTTGCATGTATTTCTTGATTTTTACAGTTATTGCCGTACGGACGCCTTTCCTAATGAGGAAATCAGGGTCCGATTCATGTAATTAATTATTATTGCATTTTTGAAAGATTTGAGGATGGGGGAGGCCCCGGGTGGCGGCTTATTATAGGCCACGGTGTAGCAAGGGGGGGTGTTGGTGATTACTACACCTACCCTAGTCACGTGCCACCCCAACCTATCCATTTAGTGTAACTCGCGTAGTTAGATTACAACACAACACAACAACGTTATCCTCCAAGACTGTTGGATAATAACACAGCCGCTTCTGAACTTGCTTACAAATGTAAAGGGGCCATAGCAGCCACTAATTAATTTAGTGTATAATATATAAGAAGCCAGCGTACGCCTGTAATCGTACACTGGCCCAAGCAACCTTTGAATCACAAATGAGATGATTTTTAGAATTAGTGATTATATAGATTGAATTCAGTAACATCATCAATATAATAATTGATTTTTTCAGTTTATCACTTATTTACAGTGATTTCATCATTCATTCATCATTATACTATGATTTACAGCTCAGTGACTGTGTCACTGATTGAAATGATGGAATAACCATAATCCAGTCGTGTAATAACCCTGCGTTCTTCCCATATGGCTATTCAGCTGTAAGACGCTATTCATTACACTTCCTTCAGACCACAAAAGAGCTTGAACCTGAACCTTGACAGTCAAATCTAAATATGCTTATATGACCTGGGAAACTCTTCTGTGCAGTGGAGGCTTGTTTCATTGTATATCAGCTATCCATGCTGGACACTTTGATATCACAGATGCATAGTTTGGCATCGGCGCACTGGGAAACTATGCAACAGCTGGAATAATCAAGGGATGGGCTCCCATTGCAACTGGCGGCTTGTACAGGTCTATACCCCAGCAGGGGATGGCCCCTGCTGCGAGTAATATTCTTGACACCTTATCGCTGACCCGGGAAACACATGGCTCAGTACTCGCTCCAGGGGGCATCTTCCATCGAAATATGCAGCAATTATTGGGACCTGCCCAAGCCACGCAAGCCCATCCCTTGATTCTAGCGTGGGTAACAAGCGTGGATGGCAGGCCTGCATTTGCACAAGACAACGGGTTAGTGGTGATCGTCAAAGCAAGTGAGACCGGGAGGAAGTTGCTCCTGTAGCTGCATGAAGAGGGGTATTGTCATTTCGGCCCGCCTGAGCTTACATGCATGCGCAGTTCTGGCACCAGCGCCTTATTGTTGACCCTGGAAACTATACACCGCTGGAATCGGGGGATGGGCTCCCATTGCAACCTGGTGGCTGTACGGGTTCATATCCCGATGCCGATGGAAGATGGGCCCCGCAGTGAGCACTGAGCCAAATGTTTATCTCTCGCTTGATTTGATGATCACTACTAGCCTGTTGCCTTGTGCAAAGGCCGGCCATCCACTCCTGTCTCCTATAGAGGCATTGCGCCTTGTTACATGTTTGCGTGATTTTGCACGAGCGCCTCATGATGGCCCAGAGAGAAGCGAGTTGTTAAAACTGATCATGCCACTTGGCGGCCAGTGTTTTCTGTTCATGTTTCTCATCATTTTCTAGTCCTTAAGACTATTTCGCCTTTCTAGCTACAAGCATAAAAGGATAGGAGCAGCCCATAATATCTTGCTCTGTATTTTGATATACCGCACTGCAAGAATTCACTCCTTTCTTTTCTAACATTTTGCATTTATTACCACTCATCTATCACTTGAGTCTCAGACAACTCTCCAATCCTCCTGAGTCTTCCTTGCACAAGATTCTTTTCATAGGGTAATATAGAACTGACATCCCCTACGCCACGAACTGATTCCCAAAATCAAGACCAATGGCAGCCATCACCCGCCGTGTCACTGACTCATCTGCCATAGCCGCATCTCGTATAGCGGCCGTGGCGAGCATGGAACTCGAGATTAAACACTTTGCGAATATTAAAGGGCTCCTTGAGAAAGCACAGGACAAAATCTTCAAACAAATATGCGACAAGGATGAAGTTAGAGCCACCTATCAAACACTAGAAAAGGCTCAGAATCTCGTCCTGGATGGCAAGGCAACAATGGAAAGCCACATAAATGAAGAAGAATCTGTGCTCATGCAATTTTTCGCCGCCGACGATATCAGTCGCATGATTAAAATGGAAATATTTGCTTGTGTCAGTCGCCTCCGAGCCGACCGAAGAAAACGCGAAGACGAAACACATTGACTCAGGCGGTAATTTTGACAATAAAAATGACAACAAGGACAACTAAGTTTCTTGCAATTGTCCTGATAAAAAGTGGTGATGTTGCTGGGAATTAAAACACTGCACTTTTCCTGTGGTCTTAAAGTGCTTCCTCCCTTTTACTTCTTTGCTTTATTCCAGTTTCAATTGTGTTTGGGTTGGCTCTTATTTTCTCTCCTTGCACGATCCTTGTCTTTTGCCACTGTGCTCTGTTTGATTTTGTGTTGCACATGGGTTGTTTGTTCAACCAAATGAAAAATGATCGATTACTCATCTTTGCTTTGTGCCAATGAAGATATGTTACTGTTGTTGTTTATACCTCTTATATCTGCTATGAAATGATTATATTCACAAAGAAAATAATTAATATAGGGCGCCAATAAAATGATTTTCACTAATTATGCTCACGGGAAGCCATGTAATGGCCCAGACTGTCAATCGAGGCTATTGGGCAGGACTTACACCTTAAATCTACAATAATTACAGTTTTCTCATAGGGACTAGGCTCATACATGTAAATACATGCAAACATGCAAAGAACCCTTGTATCACTGTAGGCTAAAAACATGGATGAGATTATATTTTATGCTCTCATTCTTGTCAATGCATTGCCTAGTTGTTGATTTCTAATCCCTGTGGCGTATGTGCGCATATGGTTTGATAATGTTGATGAGATTTTTATATTTATGCTAACAGCTGTGTAGAATAAGTGTTCAGTGTCATATCAGTAAGATAACCGGTTCTGAAAGAAGCTGTTCAGACACATTCCTGCCAAAAAACTCCCAAGACACCGCACAAAGATATGGCCTGCAGGCCCAGCCGATTGCATAGTTCTCTTCTCGGACGGTGTCTCAGCCTAGTATCACTTTGTGGTGGTTAAAGAGGAACAGAATGTTATTTCTCGACCGCCAGCGCGGGCCAGGGGATCCGACAGTATATAATGGCGGCCGTGCTCCCACTTTATGTCCATTGCTCCGCCTCCCCGTTTCTCTTCACAAAGCATATGCTGCTTCATTTTACAAATCCGCCATATCTGATTGTAAGGAAGACGCCCTGCACAAATATTTCATACATGCTAAGTATCTCCAACAGATTTGCAGCTCCCGATCAGAGCTCAGGTGGGATCGAGAATAGGATTTATTCAAAAATGAGCAATCACAACTTCGAACTGCCAGTTGAATTGGTGGAACAAATTGCTCAGTACATGGACAAGAAGGGTCTGAAAAATCTTGCAAACATCTCCTGAACATTTCACTTCATTATCAAACCAATTCTACACAAGACAATCCTCAGAGCCAGATTGAAAGAGAAGTATGATCTAAATCAATTAAATATGAGATTCTTATTCTCAACTGAGACAGGAATTAAATACTTAATAGACTTTCTATCAGAAACTCAAGCAGCTACAAGAAAATGGCTAAATTCAAAATTATCTGAATATGAAGAGGAGGAAATTAATCAGATATAGTCTGTTAAAACAGCTATATACTATCTTTTAATAATTTATTTTGTTACAGTCTCTCTTTACTTTATCTTTTTCTTTCAATTTCTTTCTATCTATCTATTTAATGTGTCTATCTTTAAGACTGTGTTCTCTTTTCCTTTGTCATGATATTGTCAAATGATTTCAAAGTATCAGAAGATGTTAAAACACTGCAATTTGTAAACAGTTTTTATATTCTGAGCTGAAATTTTCTGATTTTGTATATCTGAAATTGATGAATGTATAATAGTTAACTTTACAGATATAGGAAAAACCCTGAGAACTAAAAGTTCTCAGGTAGATATCATAGTCTCTGACTGCATACATCTATAATTAAAGAATAATAATAATAATAATACACAAGACAATCAGCTTGACCTGCTCAGCAACTGCTTATTATGACATATTGAAATTGCTGATAGCTATTAATGAACAGTCTTATATGATTTCACACATCAAAACACTCAATATATCTAAGTCAAAGAAAAATGCAGATGATGAGAGAGAGCTTGTTTAAAATACTGAATTGAATATATAGCTAATCATGAATCAAACCATCTCACACCTGTTATTTAAGTTACTCAATCTCAGCTTCTTTCATCTCTGTTCTTCTGAGAGTAATTATTTTGATTGAAATTATACAGATAGAAGACCTCTTAATCTTTCTCATCTAAGAAAGCTTATAACACTTCATTTATCAGTACATTATCTATTTATATATCTATTCTCACTAGTTTTGCCTGTGATACTAAAACATCTTCATGTGAAAGACAGTGATAGAATTGACTGAGAACATCTGATGAAATTACTGATCTACTATATTAAGCAGAAGCCTGTTAAGAGTATAGATACATAAGCACTGAATTTCATCTTTATTAACTACTTAATATTCAATATAGACAAGCTGACAACTATCTGCAAAGTTAAAGAGATAAAACTGAAACTGCAACAGAATCAAAGAGACATGCTGTGCAGTCATGAATCTTGAGCATGATAGAAGCAAGATTGATCATTACCTGATTTTATTTTCTATCAAAGTGCTTTAACTTGTAACTCTTATCGTAGTTGAAATTTGAGAATCTAACTACTCTGTGAAATATAAGCATTTCACAAACCCGTCTCTCTCACTAATATATTGAGAAAGGTTTCTTTCCCTGACTTTGAAGAAAGCATAATAAGAGTGAATAATAATAATAATAATAATAAGAGAATATAAGTGATGTAAGAAAGATAATATAGTGCAGAAATTAACTTCATATCTACTTACTTAATTTTTATCAGTTATCAGAATAACATTCAAGATCAGAGTATACTAGTGACTTATAATATATTACTTCAAGTTAATTGCTGCTTTTATGCCTGCATTATTGCTATTCTTCTTAATTCTCAGACTCTCTCATTCAGCTTTCGCTGTTGTAATCAGAAACTTAAAACTAGGCAAATTAACACTGCAGTATTGAAGATAGTATACAGAACAGTGATATCTTCTACAGCTGAGCTGCACTTCTAGTTACTTAGGTCTTGATCTGATTGAGTAATATTAGTTGTCGGCTAGACAGACAAATAGATCAGATTGCTTTTTCTGCAGATAATTCAGTATGTAAGAAGAAACGAGACACTTACATTCTTGATTTAATTTGCTTTATAAGAGTCTTTTGCTCTGAAAATCTCAGAATCTCTCACACTAGCTTTCATTATTTCAGTAAGAGTTCAGAATTCTATAATTATATGAATTAACACTATAGTATGAGATCTCAGAATGCTGCTTTATAAGTCTTACAGTTAAATCATACACTCTTAGCTCTGTAACTAATAGACTGTTAGTCAATTTATCTAAGTCAGCAGTCTGAAAAACCTGAAATTATTATAAAGATTCTCTATTCTTATGATAATTCTCTTACTAAAAAATATCAATCTGAAGACTGATATAATATATTAAAAAGAGACTTATATCTCATATTTCTCATATCTCTAGATAAAGATTGATATTTATAAGTTATTATATTCTTAATATATATTAGTCTCAGTCTGAAGATAATGAAGAATCTTGATATCTCTTCATTACTGTTGAAGAAATTAGCAGAGAAAGAGAGTTATAAGATAGATGAAATAAAGAGACTATCTGAGCTTACTTTATTTCTAGATAGATTTATTATCTGAATCATCAGAAGTAAGATTAATATGAGTTCAGAGTCACTGTTTTAAGACATAATTTATAATAATATTTCAGATAATATCTTTCAGTCAATGACACTGTGAATATGCTTGAGATTTAAAAAGTATAGTTATATTAAGAGATGAATATATAGACTGCTTACTTCTTACTATAATATTATATATAACTGCTGTGCTACTGAAAGAAGATTCTGATTCATTAATTCTTTTATCTTTATAGATTAATAATTGTAGAAGCATCAGAGCAATCTTAAAGTTATTCTTATTATTTTCAATATATTCACTGATTTCAATGAGAAAGAATATAATCTTATGAAGAGAATTATACACTTTATTTATTAATTTCTTAAGAGTGATGCTGAAAGAAGCTGTGTACTTGAGACTGTACTTCTGCTAGCAATCTTGACAGATATCTTATTCCAAGTCTCTTTAATTAGTGATAATGATCACAAATACTGCTATACTACTTATCAAGTGTATAAGAAGATTTTTCAATACATATTGTAAGAGGTCTACGCCGAATAGATCAGTATAATATTTATAGATCTTATATAATAAAGTGAAAAACATTAGAGAAGAAAAGAAAGAGAAAGTGTGAGAATCAGTGATCAGAGTGAATATTTATACATGTATGCAGTGACATACATGGCGAAGCTTCAGAGTAGAAGAATAGAAATTCTGTAGGTTTTCAGCTGAGAATCAGTGACTGAGAATTGAAACAGTAGAAATCTGTGAAGTGTAACAGAATAGTCTATATAATTGATCAGGCGCAGCCTGTCACATTAGTCCTCTCTTTTCAGAAGTGATATAGAGTCACGGGCATGTAGTTCTCATCAGTCAAGAGCTGCTGTCTCAGATAACACAGAGCTCAGAGTTCAGATCAGATGATCATAGCTGACTTATTTCACAAGATATTATCAGTCACAGCTACAGAGTCTCTTATTGAGAATATCTTCAATCTCTCACTCAAGTTCATTATCTTCTTCTATGATCTCTGATGACTGTCAATTGAAAGTCAGTTGAGAAGGAAATAAGTCAGTGACAGTGTGACAGAGCAAGCTTATATACAAGACATTATAAATCTCTGATAATATGTTAAGACAGTAATTATAACTGTCTAGAACTTCTATCACTTTATATTTGATATAATGATAATTCAGTGTATAAGATGAGTGTGTAATTTATATATTCTTAAGATTTAATCACATCAGGTCTTCTATCTTATATTACTTAGCAGAATCTCAGTGAATATTAGTTCAGTCTTCTTAATTCTATTTAGCACTCATTATGAAGACTTCTGTTCAGTCACAGATGTCTTAAAGCT